CCCCCCCTATATCCGTTATTGGGCCCAGTTACAAAATAGACAGGCTTTGATTTTTTTTTCAATTCTTGTTTTGCCACTGTCCCTCTCACCCTTTTCTCCCATTCTTTCTACCCACAGCTAACACGAAAAAGCTCTGCAGTTCGACCCATTTCGCAATCCCTCTCTCCTTCTGTGATGCATTTGGTTTTTCTTCCATTTTGTTGCTCACTTCTGTATTTGCATTGTGTCCTTCGGAAAGCTCTCTGGCTTAGCTGCTCATTGTGTCACCTTCAGATTATGTACTTGAGCCGAATCGGACAAGAAGGCTTGATGAATGTTGCTGGTTCGGAAACTCATGCACACACACACGGGTGCATTGTTTGTTCCGTGTTGTTTGGGGCGCACACATCTGCCCACTTGTCTGACAGCCAGCCGGACGTTAGCTCCGTCATTTGCTCACTCTTGACCCCTCGTTGACTATTGTTACCGTGGTACTGGTCAGTAAACGTTTTCAATCACACATGAAAGGCTGACCTGTAATGTGCCCGAAATTTCGGCTGAAGTGTCTTTCTGTCAGTTTGAGCACGTGTGTTTGTTAGTTTTTTCACTCGCAGTGTCGTTTTGATGAGCAATTCGTTTTGGCTAGTGTCCGATGTGATCGTTGTTTTTTTTTGGGGGGGGGATCTAATCCTAATTCCTAGCATCCAGTGCCCAGGTACAGTGGATCATTGATCAAAATGCAAGGAAAACATTGAATTCATTCAACAAGTAGTTACGAACCTGCACTGTACAGCGAAATAACCGATCCCGATCCCCTCCGTCACTTTTTTCCCAGTTCTCAACAGAGTCCTTCCCCAATCCCGCTTACATGGCATCTCGGACAGACAGGCGAGATCTTCCCAGCTCACAGTTGAATGCACTTTTCCCAACCTTCGAGTGGTAAACAGTACAGAGAAGTTAAACACTTTGGTCACAAAGACCTAATATCCGGTGCCCCAAACCCTAGGACTTGAAGTAATAAACTTTTTAAAGCGATATTGAATCAAACCATTACCTCGTTGTAATCCTTCACATCCGACCGAATAAATACTCAAAATAGAAATGTCTCTGTCCCATCTCCTGACTTTCCTGCTGCATGCGCTAAACATCACGTTCGAATGAAGCAACCAAAGTGCAATCTCTCGAATAAACTATTGTAAAACCCACTTAAGGGGCCCATGCATGCAAACAAAAGAAGTCCAGTGATCCACGTCGTTCCGTTTTACGTTACTGATCGTATTTTTCTGTTCATTCTCATATTCAAACGGTCAGAACCACTGAACAAAAGTTTGTCACCGGATGACAAATTGTGTATTAATTTCGGTAATGAAAATAAACATATCCAATCCAGATTTGATACGAAACACACTGAAATAAAATGACATGTTGCACGAGACAACTTTTCTGGACCTTTGAACGTATCTTCTTTACTCATCCGCTAGTTGAGATTTCCGTACACGTTCCTGTTTTTTTCCCCATCTATTCCTGTCTTGGCATTGCATACCCGTCGAGGAATTCCTTAGTGTGATTCGCTGTAACCTAATGCATGATAACCGTCTTTCTTAGTTTATCGCACATTCTAAACATAAGACGCATGCATTCATTTTTCTACTTCGATGCGGTTCACGCTCCATTAAGTCCAGTGGAATCAATACGCAAATGATTGCATCAAATGTGACATGGATTTTCATGTTCACTGTCACGGGAATAATCTGATTTAGAAATAATACCGTTACTCTGCCGTATTTTCCTTTCCTATCATCCCCGTCGGAGTTACTCAGCACGGAAAACGCAAAACATGAAACGCTCAGGTTTGCCAACATTGCGTATTCATCCGTGTTCCGCGATTAAGGGTCCGTGGTTGGCTCCCGCGTTTGGTCTCTCACATCGACACTACACACGATGTGTTGTGCTCATCCGTTTCTGTCATTGGACTTTGTTTACCGCATCGTACACACAGATCGAATGGAGAATACGCGTTCAGAATTGAACAGTGGTGTTGTTCAGTGGCTTGTGCGAGCGATTACCGTTCTGATAGATGGGCAATACTAACGCTTCCTAACAAGCCCGTGATAAACCAGCTGGACAGTATTTTCAAGGCTTTTCACTTGTTTGTGTGTGTGCGTGTACGTGAGTACGTGATGGTTCGCTTTGTGAACCATTCGCCTCTAGCAGTGCCAGCTTATGTGTCTCCCGGGCAATACACGGCGTAATCGATCCACCGGAAGTTCTCGGTGGATAGGGCTATTTGGCAGTATGCAAGAGAGAGAACGTATAAACACCATGAACCCAAGGGGTTTGGTGAGATAAGAACATGTATTATTATGGTACATATGTAGCAACTTATCTAATCATAAATACGTATGTTTTGAATAGTTTCCGCTGCGGTTGAGATGCAGCGAAATCGTCCAGGAATAGCTTGTTTCAATTCCCGCGCGGTTGTCCACAATATTGCTGTTGCTCTATATTCGCTGTTCCAGACATCGGTCCCAGTAGTTCGCGATAAGCGACTCTGAATACCCCGTGTCTAAATCCCCGTCCAATTCGCTCCCACTTTTCTACAGCCATTGCGTTGACATTGGTCAACTATTTTCGATCATCAAAAGTAATATTGTCTCGCCCCAACGCATGTACACAGCTAGAGTTTTTCATTATTATGAAACCTATCTCTTCCAGCTTTTAACATTTACTTTACTGACTGTTTCTTTTTGGCTCCTATTTAAGTTATTGATACGCACACCTCCGTTTCCGATTTCCCCGGGCTATTTTATAGCTGGACAGGAAACGGTTTGGACTATCCTCGAGCCTCGGAGTCCGGTGTTAGCTACTCCACTTCGTCCCTGTTATCAGAACCATCCGGTGTTGGACGGGCACCTTCACATACTATTTCCCAAGGCCTGTCGGTCAAACCAGCAGCGGACACCAAGGGGTCTGAGGCGAGAAAGATCTCTAACACGACCGGTGCTCGTCGACTGGAGAAGCCCATTTCTTTGTCCACATCCAATCGTTCGGGCACCGGATCGACGAACAATATCAGTCGGGACAACGGAAATGCATCGTCTAACGACGCGAGCACAGGCACAGCCACTGGGACTAAACGGGTGCACATCAAAAAACCGCTGAATGCGTTCATGCTGTTTATGAAGGATATGCGACCGCGTGTTCAAGAGGAGTGCACACTCAAAGAGTCCGCAGCCATCAATCAAATACTGGGACGCAAATGGCATGAACTGCCTCGGGAGAAACAAGCCAAATACTATGAGATGGCTCGAAAGGAAAAGGAATTACATCATCAGGTGAATGAGTGTGCATTGTTTTGAAGGCTCGCTTGAAGTGATCCGTTTCTATGATATTTGGTTCACGTAATTCGACTTTTCCATGTTTGAGCCTTGTATGCTCACAGTTTCGCTTACTGATTGTTTAGTGAGATGTGTTAGTAGTTCTGTGATCAACCAGTTCCCGTAATCGATGCACGTACCCAAAGTTGTTTTGTCTGAATCTCATCACTGTCTCATTTATTTCTCTCTTCGGGCACCTTTTAATTAACCGCAGTCATCATCGTGGAAATAGGCTATACGATTGCATGGGCAAGGAACTGAAGGGAAGTAAACAACACATAACAAAAGGGGTAACACTCCTGGCTATTCTACACCATGTTTTAGGTTTATTTCACACGCGTCTCAATGGAACCTGTATGCTTTTTTAAGAAACAGACCCGTCCATAGTTCGTTGGCAGCATGTTGCCAACTTGCCCAGGTCAAAGCAGGTGAGCTGTCTTGGAGAATTCAAAATCGTAGCTTTCGGTCACATACTGATCTGAAATGTAGCTGGGCGGTATGTAAAAACCGCACACGTGAGGTCGGTGTTCGTTTGGTCCAATTATGTACCCACTATGAGTAATTTTACTTACGCGCACATGCACATCGTGTGGATTCATTTGTTTCACTCTTGCTTTCCGCATATTGACGCATTTTCGGTTTTCTCTGGTTTTACCATGCCCCCGTTGTCGGATGAAGATGTAAGAATCACTGATCGGATTTGATCAAGTTCACTACAATGAGTCCTGCATTCATTTTGTCATAGATTTGATTATGGAAACAGCCCTATCCTCGTGCGAGGATAGTCGAATCGATTTACTCCCAGTTCGCAGACTGTCTGATCTGGAGTATGCAGACGACATTGTCCATCACGAC